TCTGAAGATGGTAACTTCTTTTCACCTTTTGGTAAAGTCTTGATGAGAAAAGTTTTTAATTTTTATGAGGTCCCATTTACTTATTTTGTCTTATGCTGTTTGTGCTTTTGTTATTAGATAAGGTTTTGTTATTATATTAAACTCACTGGCATCGAGTTAATTCTGACTCATTGTGACCTCCACTGAGTTTCTGAGGTGGTAAGCCTTTATGGAGGTAGATTTTGCCCCATCTTTCTTCTGTGGAGCAGCTGGTGGGTTTGAACGGCCAACTTTCTGGTTAGTAGTCAAATGCTTTAGGCATTATATTAGATAATGTTGAAAGGTAGGCATGAGAGTTGCCTGTGCTTTTTCTTCTAAGAATTTTCTGGTTTGAGTTTGCACATTATGTTCTTAATCCACTTTGAATTTTCATTGTGTGTTTATGGTATGATGCATGGATCCTGTTTCAGTTTTCTACATTTGGAAATCCAGTTTTCCCCATACCATTTATTGAGTAGACTCTTTTTTCCCCTTTGAATGGATTTAGCAATATCATAAAAAATCAGTTGAGCATAGATGTGTGGGTTTATTTATGGACTCTGAATTCCTTTGTGGTATTTTTAATTTACCAGGTTACATATTTATTTGTGCTGCTTGATTCAGCTGGCAGGTAATGTTGTTTATTAATCTTTATATTTGCTTGACATATAAGTTGCTACTCATTGAATATATATTGTTCAAGGAACATAATAACACTTATTGATCATTTGCCTTGTGCTAAGGACTAGTCTAGACACTTTGCAAGGAAAGTTCTTGTAAGTACTTTATAACAGTGAATAATATATTGGTTTTATTGCTTAGAAAACTGGAACAAAGATAAGTAAATTACATAAAGTCACACAATTAGTGTGGTAGCAGTATAGTGGCCCAAAATGTCTATATTCATCCCTGAAATCTGTGACTATATTACTTGGCAATGGAGAGTTAATGTAGAAGATGGAATTAAAGTTATAATTTAGCTGACTTTAAGATGGGGAAATTGTCCTGGATTATCCAGGTGGGCCCAGTGTTATCACAGGGTCCTTATAAGTGAAAGAGGGAGGAAGAAGAGCCAGTGGTGTAGAGATGTGATGTGAGGAAGACTTACCTGCTGTTCTTGGCTTTGAAGTTGAGGATGGAAAGCCATGGGCCAAGGCATACAGGTAGCCTCTTGAATCTGGAAAGGGCAAAGAAATAGATTCTTCCCTTAGAGCTTCCAGACAGAAATGCAGCCCTGCTGACACATTTAGCTCTGAGCACCATTTCAGATATTGATCTCTAGAACTATAAGATAATGTATTTGTGTTGATTTAAGGTATAAGTTCTGGTAATTTGTTACAGTGGTCCTAGGAAACTAATGCAAAACCAAAAACTAACTGCTTTTGAGTCGATTCTGACTCATAGCAACCCTATAGGACAGAGTAGAACTACCTCATAGGATTTCCTGGCTGTAAATCCAGACTGCTTCATCTTTCTTCTGTGGAGCAGTTGGTGAGTTAAAACCACCTACCTTTTGGTTAGAAGTCAAATGCTTTAACCAGTATATCATTGGACCTCCTCAGGAAACTAATATAACTAGTGTTGTCTGGGAGTTAAGCCCTGGTCTGGCTCTAAAATTTATAATTTTTCTGTCATGCCATGATAATGTGGTAATGAGAATTTAAGCACTATAAATTAATTAATGGATTCCTTCATATAATAAATACATCTTTGGTGCCTACTATCTAAAGAGTGAATTAGGTATTAGAGTCAGTGATCACAATTACTAAGTTCTTACATCATGAGGTATATAGTAGAGGAGGTAGACAGTAAACAAATAAAGAAGCTATTATCAATGCCAGGGTCCAGTGAAGGAGCACTCTGTGTGTAGTGAACGGGAATAGCAGTGTGGGGAGGTAGAGGACCACATAGCCAGCTGGTGCTTCCTGAGTAGCTCACAAGGTGAGAAGGAGCTGGCTGGGGAGAAGCATTCGAGGCAGGTGCATGACCTCAGCTTGAAGAACATGGGGTAGTCAGTTATACACAGGGAGCAGGTGTATCTGGGACTTAGGGAGCAAACAGCAAGGCAGAGAGGTAAGACTGGGCAAGTAAGCAGGGGTTGGCTTATGAAGGGCGTATGACCTGGAGTGTCATGTTCAAGAGCAATGGGATGCAATGAGTTTTTAGTAAGGGATTGACATGGACTAGTTGATGTTTTAAAAAGGTCAGTCTGACTCTTGTGGGTTTGAGGTATGCTTTAGATGGAATTGAGGTATCTTTTAGTGGTATGATTGAGAAAATCTGCTCTTGAATGTGAAGCTTTAGTAAATGAAGTTTATGTGACTGATTATTAAACTGGGTAGGATTGGGGAGGACCAAGTTTCAGGCCAAAACTCATCCTTTTTGTTTTGGACATGTTTAGTCTGAGATGTATATGAGTCATCCAAGTTTAGATGTTTGTTTAATCTGCAAGACTGGATCTTGCAGGAGAAATTAGAACCTGAGATAAAAATTTGTAAATCTTCAGCGTCTGCATAGTATTTAAAGCTGTGAGTATTAGTGACTACCTAGGGAGCAAGTACAGATAGGATAGGCAGAGGGCCTGTCTTAGTTACGTAAGGCTGCCATAACAAAACATCATAAAGTGGGGCTTTGAAGAATAGAATTTTATTATCTCACAATTCTAGAGGCTTGAAGTCTGAATTCAGGATGTGGCAGAGTGATGGTCTTTCTCTGTTGGTTCGAGGGGAAGATTCTTTCTTGCCTCTTTCAGCTTCTGGCAGCCCTAGGTGTTTCTTGGCGTTCTTTGGCTTGTAAATGTATCCGTCATTTTCCTGTGGTTGACCCTTTCTTTATAAGGCACCACTCAGAAGGGATTAGGATTAGAGACCATTATGTTCCAGTATAATCTTATTTAACTTAACTGTTACCCTCTGCAAACAAAGATTGTGTCCCCCAACAAAGTCACCATGTCAGTTATAGGAATTCAGCGCCTCTTTTTTGGGGGACACAATTCAAACAGTCTAAGAAAAGACCATTTTGAGGAGAGATATAGTGCTGTCTTGCTTCAAGAGAACTCTGAGTGAGGGGAGAGGAGGAGGTTTTGCATCTCAACAAGGAGAAGCTCGACAAAGAAACTTAAGAGTTATCAAGAGATGATAATAACTCTTAAGAGTTAAGAAGAAATGATGAACAGAAAGGAGTAGATGGAGGCTATCTGAAGAAAACCCTTTAGAAAAATCTTACAGCACAGGAAAGCAAGGAAACAACATGTAGCTGATGAGAGATGTGGAGTAGGGAGGTGTTCTGATTACCTAGTGTATCTCTGACAAGAATATGTCACAAATGGGATGGCCTTAACAAACAGGAGTTTATTCTTATAATTTGGAGGCTTTAAGTCCAAGTTCAAAGTGCCAGGCTCTAGGGTCTGGGTGAAAGCCCCTCAACCTTGGGGTCCAGCTCTGCCTCCTGCTCCTGGCCCACTGGAGCTAGAGGCTTTTCTTCACTCAGACAGCTGCTGGCTGCTGAGGCTGACAAGCTCGAGGTTGACCAGTAAAAAGGCACAGTCCTGCTGTTACCAAACCACACGGCAGGCCATTAAGTTAAGTCCATTTTAAGTCCCAAGGTCAGCAGAGCATAGCATGCTGCTGAACAATGATATGGCTATAGGCAGGGTCCAAGTGTGCCATAAGCTGGAGACCATTCCCAAGGCTTCTGCTTTATATACAGGAAGCAGACCACATCCCAAAGGCAGCTACTCTGCTGCTTTAGGTAGATCCCACTATGGAGTTGATTGCCAGTCTCATCATGGGGAATAACTACCCAGCCACTCAACCAGGCCCAGCCAAGTTGACAAAATTAACTACCTCAGGAGGTTTGTAGAAACAGATAAAAGAGCACGCTTGTATAGGAGCAGGGCACCAGAGAGGGTGAGGTCAGTGCAGGAGAATGGACAGTGGGAGGCAGAGTCTTCAAGAAGACAGTACCATTTCTGCCACTGGAAGCCTTTTCTCTTCTGCCTGACTTCCTACCCCTGTGGTTCCTCTTCCACTTGTCCAGACCACCTGGGGCACTGAGCATTGCCTAGTGCTTCTGTATCTGCCTCTTTGTATTTACACCGTTACTTTCTATTAGAACAACAACTTTGTAATCCCTGCCTATGCTTTTAGGCCCAGCTCATATGCTACCATTTCTGTAAAGCCTTTCTTGAACATTCACAGCCAGAAGAAATCTCTCCTTGTATTGAATTCTAAAGTATTTTTTCTTTTTATCGTGGCATTGTCCTATAAATATGCTGATGTTTCTTTTTTCTTAAATCCTCTCTTGATCCCATTCTTCCTCCAGTCAGAAAGTCATGTGGCCTCTGCCTTCAAAATGTATCAGTCCCGCAATCAAAGCACACAGTGGTTGAACTTCTATTTGTAAGTCACTATTTAAGGTCAGAGGTTTGAGTGGTGAAAAAAGCATGATTTCTATGTAGTTGGCAATAAACGATCTGGTGGGAGACAGTTATCTTATAAACTATATTGTAAATCAGGCAAGGTTCTATAAGAATCTCATAGTATTTTATTTGTCTTTGCAATTCCCATAATAACTTGGTACATATGTGAGAACATTTAGAAGTAAAAAAATGTGTTCAGCTTTGAGTGAGTTATTTCATTTAGTCCTTGAAACAAGGTATATACTGTCCCTCTTTACAAAAGAATACTTCTTACAGAAGAAAACTAAAATTTTGGAAGATTACCTAACAGAGCTTGTAAATGATGGATTGGAATTTAGACCCTTGTGTTTGTTATTCCAGTTGTTCTTTCTGCTTTTCTACAGCAGTAACCCTTGCAACTTGCTGACTGATGGAAATGCTGTAAGATATCACTCCTGAATTTACAAGGGCTTTTTGGGGTTAATAAAGATACGAAGTTACTGCAAGTTGTAAAGCTGTTTGGGTTTCAAATGATACTTTTGTTATGATTTATAACAGAAGCTTATGTTTGTTACTTTTTTAGATCCCCAGACTTCAAGAGAAATTTTTGATTTTTCACTAAAGGCAATTCGTCCTCAGGTAGGGTGAATATTACTCTAATTCTTATACATTTGAGACTTGTGATGATCAAACATTGATGGTGAAAATTTTTTTTCTAAAATAGATTGACCTGAAGAGATATGCTGTGCCTTCAGGTATGATTCTCTACTTAATGAAATGTAACTTCTTTGATTACAAAAGTTGACTTTCATTTAAATGAAGTGAAAGTAAATGAAGTGAAAGTAAATATGCTATCATCTGTGATTTTTACACACAAATATTTACAGGGAAGCTTTTGGAAGCACAAAAGTGGTGGAGATAGTCACATTTAGGTTAAATGATTTTTTTTTAAAAATTATTTTGTTTCTGTTGAGAATATAAGAGCAAAAGAAACAGCTATTCATCAGTTTCTACATCTGCAATTCAGTGACATTAATTACATTCTTTGAATTATGCAACTATTCTTACACTCTTTATCTAAATTATTCCTTCTCCCTTAACATAAACTCATTGCCCTCTGAAGTTGAGTTAAATGATTTTTTAAAGAAATTTAGTACCTCTTTGTGTAAATAAATCCCTATCTTACTTCTGCACCTCAGTTTGGTGTTCTTTAGCCACTTTCAGTTCAAGTGGAGACTGGTGGTGTCAGTACTTCCATTGAATTCCTTTTGGTATTTGTAGTGATATTAGATTGCCATGAATGCAGCTTGAATTTTGACATGTACTGAGAGCTTTCTCAGTTCTTTGTTCTGGCTTCTGTTGTCTTATTTTAAATATGAAGGCTTTGCCATTGCAGCTGGTTTGCACTTGTTTGCCCTGCATGCGTCCCAGTTCAGCACCTGCCTTCTGGACAACTACATGTCTTTATTTGAAGTGCTATCTAAATGGTGTGGCCATACCAATGTAGAGGTGAAGAAAGGTGCACATGCAGCCTTGGAGGCCTTTCTGAAACAGGTAATGTAAGTTCAGCACTCATTTAAAAGTATCTTTTCCACAAAAAACATAAATTCCAATCTTGTACATACCCATTTGAATGATACAAATAACTTGATCCATTAACATTGTAGTATTTTTTTTTTTTTTTAAAGGGCTTTATTATTGATCAGCTGTCGGGGTGGCAGCAGCACTGAAAGAAAGCTAGGAAGATTCCAGAGTAGGTACAGGACCTCAGAGCCAAGGTGAAGGCAGAATCTCTTGGACAAAGGAAGTGGGGTGAGGAGAATGGGGGAAAGGCAGGGTGGTCTGCAGCTCCTGTGAGCCAGAGCTGAGGTGGCCAGAGTTGGATGGGCAGCCAGGTGGGATGAGGAGCCTCAAGTCACTGTAGGTGTAGGAGCTATCAGATTAAGACAAGATGCCTGTTTCAAATCCCTTCCAGAGCAGGGAGAGCTTGTTTGTCCTTGTTTGATTTCCATCTAGGTGGGATTTGGTCAAGATTAGAGCCTACAAGTATGGAAACATGTTACATTTGGCAAGGAAAGCTGAAAGAAACCTAAAGGTTTCTGAAAATACTTGCTGTACTGGCTCAGGGCATGGGGATTGAACTGCTTCGGTTGACTCTGATAGTACATACTGAAGATCCATAGCAAGAGTTTTGTTTGATGGGTAGATCATAGTTAAATTCACTAGTCCGTGAACAATCTGAACTGTGGCATAAATGGTATTGGCCTGAGAATCAGGGCCAGAATGTACAGGAGGGAGGGGAGAGAGAAGTTGCCATCCTTTTTCTTAGTGTGGGCCCAACTCCAACAAAAATGCAGAATTGATTCTCTTTGTCCTTGGATCTCCCCATTTCATCCTGCCCCTCACAGCTTCCTAACATCTCTTGCTGTCCTGCCCCTTTCCATAAGGTTTGCTCTTGCTCCCAAATTATTCTGAGCATTATGATGACCTCTTCTTCCTGTCTCCCTTATTAACAACTTCTGTTCTGCTTAATTTGACAAATCTTGGTTGTTAAGGAAAATAAAGGAGAAATTTTTTTTTTTTTACTAATTCATGGAAATATTTTTGTATCTCAATAAACATTTGCTCAAATAAATCTCATAGTAGGTGGATTTTCAGGCTTTGTTACTAATCTGCATACTTGTTGGCAAAAAGGGATTTGTATGGCAGATCTTGGCTCTGGACTCCACCTGTCTTTTGTAGCCCTTTTTTGACTTATTCTTTGAAAAGTATCATGGAGAGTCTCGTGGCATAGTGAAGGGATGGTACTGCAGAGTGCAGGCACAGACTCTTGTCAGCTGGAACAGCAGGAGGATGAGTGTCTCATTGTCCTGTAGTCTTCCCTCTGTGCTTAGATACGTAGAACATTGATCTGCATTCCAGGTTATTGGTGGTGGTGGTGTTAGGTGCCATTGAGTTGTCTCGACTCGTAGTGACCCTTTGTACAACAGAATGAAACACAACCCGGTCCTGTGCCAGCCTCACAATTCTTGCTATACCTGTGCCCGTCATTGTAGCCACCATGTCAATCCATGTTGTTGAGGGCCTTCCCCTTTTTCATTGACCCTCCACTTTATCAAGCATGATAACCTTCTACAGAGAATGGTCCCTTCTGAAAATATTACCAAAGTAGGTGAGTCCACTCCTCAGAAGGAAGGTTGGGCATTCCTACTTCCGTAGTGATACTGCCTCGGAAACCCAAGGAGGGGTCGCTATGAGTCGGGCCGACTCGATGGCAAATAACAACAACAACAACAGGTGAGTCTCAGTTCTGAGAAGCATCCCAGCTGCACTTCTTCCAGAACAGATTTGTTCATACTTCTGGAAGTCCATGGTATTTTCAGTATTCTTCGCCAGCAACACAACTCAAAAGCATCGACTCTTCTTTGATCTTCCTTATTCATTGTCCAGCTCTCATATGCATATGAGGCAATTGAAAATGCCATGGTTTGGGTTAGGCACACCTTAGTCTTCAAGGAGACATCTTTGCTCCTCATCACTTGTAAGAGGTCTTTTGTGGCAGATTTGCCCAGTGCGATTCATCGTCTGATGTGTTGACTAGCTTAGCTTCCAGATTAAGACAGACTTGGAAGAAGGAAGGGGCCATCTACTTCTCACAGAATTGGCCAGTGAAAACCTTGTGAATAGAAGTGAAACACTGTCTGATATATTACTGGAGGTTATTGCTAGAGAATTTAATTGCAGACTTCCTCTCCTATTCTTAATAGAAATTAGATTTAATGAGTAGCACAAATGGTTAATGTACTTGGCTGCTAACAGAAAAATTTGAGGTTCTAGTCCACCCATCAGCACTGTGTAGAAAGGCCTGGTGATTTACTTGTGAAAAATCAGCTATTAAAATCCCTGTGGAGCACAGTTCTACTCTGACACACATGCGGACATCATGAGTCAGAGACGACTCAACCAAAACCAAACCTGTTGCCATCAAGTTACTTCCAGTTGATGGAGACCCTGTGTGTTACAGAGTAGAACTGCACCATGGGCTTTTCTTGGCTGTAGTCTTTTTATCTTTCCTAAATTTCATTTCATTGTGAATATATACAGCAAAACATACCATACATATAGAATTTAGAGGTATTAATTACATTCCTTGAATTGTGCAACCATTCTCATCCTCATTTTCTGAGTTGTTTTTCCAACATTAACATAGCTTACTGCTCCCTAAATTTCCTATCTAATTTTTCGAGTTGCTGTTGTCAATTTGAATCCTATGAAGATAGTTCTTAAAAGAGCCTAATGCTCAAGGCAAACATTTTTTTTACTAGTTAAGCAAAACTTTTGTTGGTTTTTAAGAGGACTTCAGGGGCTAGACCTTGGTTTAAGGTTGAAAGATTATCTCAGAGCAGTAGTTTCAGAGGTTCATCTAACCTTCATGGCTACAGGAAGTCTGGTTTCCATGAGAATTTGAAATTCTGTTCTGCATTTTCCCTCCTTTGATCAGGATTCTTCTGTGGAATCTTGGATCAAAATGTTCAGTAATAGTACTTGGGCACCATCTATTTCTTTTGGTATCATGGCACAGGAAGTAGTTGTTCACAGAGGCAATTAGCCACACATTCCATATCCTCCCAAACTCCTGACTTTACTTCCTCTATTGCTTCCAGTGAATTGTTGTGCCTTCAATGACCACTTGCAAAGTTTAAGACCCCAGGCTTTATGCAGCAAACTAGGAGGTAGGACAGAAGCACTAAATATATTATTAGGCCATTTAGCTGCAATGCCCCATGAAATCATGACCCTAAACCTCTAAACCAAGGAGCCAAATCCCATGAGGTGTTTGGTTGTGCATAAAAAGCCTCAGCAGCTACTATTTTTTTTTAACTTTATCATTGTCATAAATAAATCTATCACAAAACTTTTGCAAATTCAGTGTTTTATATATGTAACTTACAGCAATGACAGTAATTGGCTGTGAACTCTATACTTAATCCATGTGATTTTTCCATTACCATTAATGCCTTTATAATTTTAAGAATCCGAACTAGATAAGTATTTAACTAGATAAGTATCTAACTTGATAAGTTCTTTATTGTGTTTCTCGTTTCAGTTATTGTCCATTTCAGTTGTCCTATCTGTTTTATTGGATGCTCATTTGTTCTTGTATTGTTTTCCTTTTATCTCTTTGTGTATGTTTTCCCTTAGTTCTTTTTCTATGTTTAATGTTATTGTCTTACTTTCTTCCATTTTTTCTTTTTTAATTTATTGTGATTTGGGTGAAGATTTACAGAGCAAATTCACTTTCCATACAGCAGTTCACATATACTTTGTCTCATGACATTGACCACA